GAGAGAGAGAGAGAGAGAGGAAAGAGACGAGCGGGACGTTTTCGAATTTCGGCAACTAGGGAAGAGACGAGCGGGACATTTTCTAGTCGAGTGGAAGATATCCTCGCCTCGAGTGGGGCACACGAGGACGTGGTCGGTGGGCAGGATGAGGAGGTGCGGGTGGTAGGTGCGGGTGGTGCTAAGAGCATCTCTAGTAGACTCCTTATAATGCCGACCCGCAAAATGCATTTACAGTTTGTGAAAAAATGGATTTACGGGCCGACGCGGGCTGCTGCCGAGCAGACCCCGCGTAGTCAACCCGTAAAAGAGCATATCTTCGGTCCGCAAATCGAAAACCCCCATAAGCGAATTAAACAGTGATTCCGATAATTAAGTTTAAATTCGATTCGAAGAATAAAACATAGTTCGCAAAATAAAAGCATAGTTTTGTATGACAAACGCAAAATGACTTCATGCAAAGCGACGACCACATCCATCATCATGTTGGTCGCTTTTCACCCGTCGTCATGATCTTCACTACGCACCACCTCCATTGATGTCATTATCGGTGTCAAAACCGGCGGATCTCGGGTAGGGGGTCCTGAACTGTGCGTCTAGGATCGATGGTAACAGGAGACGAGAGACACGATGTTTACCCAGGTTCGGGTCCTCTCTATGGAGGTAATACCCTACTTCCTGCTTGATTGATCTTGATGAATATGAGTATTACAAGAGTTGATCTACCACGAGATCGTAATGGCTAAACCCTAAAAGTCTAGCCTGTATGACTATGGTAATGTCTGTCCTTTTCAGACTACCCCCTCCGGTTTATATAGACACCGGGGGGATCTAGGGTTTACATAGAGTCGGTTACATAAGAAGGAATCTTCATAGTTGGTCGCCAAGCTTGCCTTCCACGCCAAGGAGAGTCCAATCCGGACATGGGTGTAGTCTTCGGTCTTCATGCCTTCACAGCCCATCAGTCCGGCCCACGAATAATAGGCCAGACGCCCGAGGACCCCTTGGTCCAGGACTCTCTCAGTAGCCCCTGAACCTGGCTTCAATGACGATGAGTTCGGCGCGCAGATTGTCTTCGGCATTGCAAGGCGGGTTCCCCTTTCCGAACTCCGAGATAGTCTTCAGATGTAATGATTGTATCCGGACCTGTATACACAACGGCAGAGGACATAATTTTCACGAGTTCAATCCGCTGATAATTTTTGGATAATATGACATCACGCCTGCTCGGTCATTATTTTCGAACCGTTAGCTGGCCCATCTTCCCACGTCCCAAGACGTGGTTTTACTGGCATGCCTTATCCAAGCGGAGATCGTGTCTCCCCTTCTTTAGGGGATCCTTGCCAACCCAGACGTGGGTGACCCAACCGTCGCTTGGGTACAACTCCTTGGGAGTAGGTAAGTTCCAAGGCCCAGGAGGAGAAGTTTGATATTCGCAGCCTTTATATAGGGGTACAGACCCGTCTTTTTCTTTCACGCTTGCTTCTTCCTCAACCCCTGCTTCCCCGAGTTCCAACACCCGGGTTTCGGTTGCCCCAATCATGTCCGAATCCAGCCGTCAAGGTCGGTGGGTAGCTTCTTCTGTCACGGAGGGAGATATTGCCAAGCTTCGGGCGGCGAGGTGCCTAACCGCAGAAATCCTTCATCGGCTCCCTGCCGAGGGGCAGGTTATTCCCACCCCCAAATCTGGCGAGATGGTCGTGTTCGTATCCCACTTCCTCCACAGGTTAGGGTTTGCACTTAACCCCTTCATCCGAGGGCTCATGTTCTATTACGGGCTAGATTTTCACGATCTGGCCCCGGACTCTATTCTTCTTATTTCGGCATTTATCGTCACGTGCAAAGCCTTCCTCCGAACCCCTCCGCACTTCGTCTTGTGGCTCAAGACCTTTGATGTGAGGTCGCAAGTGGTAGAGGGGGAGCAGGCCGAGTGCGGTGGCACTTCAGTAAAAAAGCTTGCTAGCGTCGTTTGGCTGAAAGGATCTTTCGCCAAATCTTTCGATCCGTGGCAGCAAGGGTGGTTCTATATCACCGAGCCCCGCGGCTCCAAGTGGGCAATTGCGCCCGCATTTCGATCCAGCCCCCGGTTCAACTTGCATCATGGATTAACAAGGGGCTGGATTGGGGATCAACGAATGAACTGCGAACTCTGCAAAGTCGCATCCGAAGACTCACTGAGAGGGACATCGACATAGCCAACGTCGTTCAAGTCATGCTAGTTCGTAGGACCCTGTCGTGCCAGCGACGGCCTCTTCGCCTATGGGAGTTCAATCCAGAAAGGCCGCAAACTCTTCAGCACTTCTTCGGCACAACGCACGAAGGAATATGAAGATTATTCTTCGGGAAACAAAGGCAATGGCCGGACACCACCGAAGATGTCGGCCTAGACTGTAACCATCTGGATACCCCGGTAAGTACCTGTTTGCCGAATACCTTATAATTAAATACCCAGTGGCTAGATATCGACAGTATCATCTTTTTTCAGGGCTGGATAAAGAAGGTGGAACGGATTAGGTGTCCAGCTCCCCTTCTCGAAGACTCAGCTACTCCTGTGTTAACAAGGATGCTGGCCTCGGCGCCATACCAGGCGCCAGCAGGGGAGAGTAAAGAGGAGAGTGAGAAGGTCCAAAAGGACCTTGGTTCCGGAGGTAAGTCGGACACTGAGTGTAACGCCCCGGATCCGATGCGCCAGGTGTCCGCCAGTTATTCGTCGTTGTTGCCATGTCATTTGCTTGGTTGTTGCATTTTATCATGTCATCATGTGCATCTCATTTTGCATACATGTTCATCTCATGCATCTGAGCATTTTCCCCGTTGTCCGTTTTGCAATCCGGCGCTCCTATGTCACCCGACGTCTCCCTCTTCCCTCTTTTCGTGTGCGGGTGTTAAACTTTCTCGGAATGGCCCGAGGTTTGCCAAGCGGCCTTGGTATAGCACCGGTAGACCGCCTGTCAAGTTTCGTGCCATTTGGAGGTCGTTTGCTACTCCAACGGTTAACCGGGTAACCGCAAAGCCCTCTTTGAGTTGCAGCCCAACACCCCTTCCAAAGTAGCCCAAAACCCATCTAACTCCCCTCCATGCTCTTGGTCGTTCGATCACGATCGTGTGGGCGAAAACCGCACCTCATTTGGACTCTCCTAGCTCCCTCTACCTATGAATATGTGGCCTCCCCCGAATTCCCGCAGTCCAAACCCTAGCTTCTTCCTCCTCCAGCCGACGGACACGTCCGCCCGCCGACGGACATGTCCGCGCCGCCGCCCACGCCCACTCCCGTGCCGCCACGTGGCAGCCGCCGCCGCCTCGCGCCGCCTGCCCGCCCAGGCCCGAGCGGGGCCCGCCC